TGCCGCATATCGCGTCGAACAGCCTAGAACGTTTCTCACTGCGAGCCACGGCATGAGACGTCCCCGGAGATAAAGCAGGAGGGACAGATAAGCGTGAAAGAGAAAGAGGGACCAACAACTTTCCAAGAACTGTTCGACCGCGGTTCTTCTGCCACCCTCGCGAACGACGCGACTCTCCTTGTACCTACTCGCTGAGAAACCGATCTCGCTGCCATGCCGATCCCGTTCGAACTCTGCTACATACAATTTTTTCGCCACTCGGTGCCACCGGCAACAATCTCGCCGCGACAAGTATTCGTTCTAACGAACAACACATCGATGAAATCTCCTTGTTTGTAGTTCGATTGTACGACTGTTGTTTCTTTTCTTCGAGACAACGTCAACATAAGTAACAAAAGTAGAAAAGTAACAGTTCTCGGTGAATCGTGGATAGGTGACCAAAGGAAATATCAATTGCTCGCGTAATTAGTCCACATGATCTTTCCATTTGTCACTGGGATTCGCGTACACCCCTAAAAACTATCGTCGGATTTATGGGCCCGGGCCGGTCCAATCCTTTCGGTACGTACATCTGGACGAATGGACTCGCGGCGCGGCCTATATATTATACAAAGTTTCACCGTGCGCCCTCTCTGTTCCTCCAAATCGCGTGGATAGCCGAACGGGGAAGACGAGTCAATATCTCTCCCCACGTGAAGCCGCAGGCAGGTAAAAATGTCTCAACTTGGGTGCCCTGGCTCGTCCTGGCTGGTCGTTTTGCTCCTTTCTTCCCAGGACCTCCTTCTCTCCCTATCTATCTATCTTCCGGCCAGGGCGGCTCCTTCACGGGCCAGACGAGAGGAAGGGAATACCGGCCAAGAAGAAGAGGAACATGCCAGAACGAGATGGATGGGACCGTTCGTTCTTTCTGCGCTGAATAAAAGTGGCGAATGCGGCGAGCACGGTTCCTACGCTCGTAGTTAAACTAATGATTAGGCCCGACGTGTGTGACGGCTGTTGAGTTTCGGTTACTCTTCGTCGTTTCATTTGTTGATACGCCCTGGCCGGTTGCGCGTTCGGTTTTCAACCCCTTTCACGTCCGCCGAGATTCTCCTGCGACCGTTTTTCTGAAAGCTTCTACGGTTTACGCTCTGTTCAGAAATCATTTGGAGCAACTTGGACTCTTCTCTCGACGACGACGAACTTGTTTTTCTATTCTGTAGATTCGCTGGACTGCTTAATCGTTTTATTGTACGTTCAGCTCCGATATACTCTGCAAATATTAAACATGAACACTTTACTTTCGATATTTTTTAATATTATTGTTTCTTCTAATTCCTTGCTTTGTTAGTTCAAATTTCGTACAAGTGGATAGAAATCCGTAGTCTAACGATAACGATTCACTCTACTATACTCCTTACTTTATTGAATACAAGTTACAAAATAAAGCAAATGAATATAATAAAAATTTCTAAAAACTTTAGACAATATATATTGGGTTGTCCGGAAAGTACATGTCGATTTTTAATAGATGGTAAAGGTCTGATTATGTCGAAATGGTTGAAAACAAATAACACGTATACATCCCTTAAAAGGTGGAAAGGTTGTGGAACAAAATGGCACATATGTAATTTAATAAATATGTGTATATATATATATGTATATTATATGCCTTTGAATTTTTCTTAGAAATTGGCACGAACTTTCTGGACAACCTAATATATCAAATTGATAGCTTTTGTTCAATTGAAGATAGAGAAAAGGATATAATTAATTTATGGAATACTAGCTGCGCCCCGGAGATACAGATTTTCGATGTACATGCTACGTCAAATTGTTACGCTACATCAACCGGAACGAAAAATAAAAAAACGTGGAATCTCGAAGCGAACGATGAGATTCTCTCGTCAATTAAAGTCTCGTGTGTTCGATCATCGATCGCGACAAGCAGTCGAGGCACAGAGGCGGCCGATACACGCGCGCACACGTAAGTCGTTCGTAGAGGAGACGTACCATTAAGGGAACAGAGAGAACAATTCCCACGTTCGACGTTCCAATCATCCAAAAGGAGCATCTGGCCCTTGTTTTACTTAGAACTAATAATCCGGCTGGGAGTGATGGTCGAAAGTCCGTCCAGGAGAGATACGGGGGATCGACTCATCGTCGATCGGGCCCGTGAAACGGCGAATCTACGCCGTGAGGAACAGCTCACGGATATTTCCAGGAAAATATCGCAAGAACGAACCGGGAGAGCGTTCTACGAGAAAAGAGGAGAGACGAGATCCCGGTGGAACCGTTCTCTCTTTCTCTTTCCGTGTTCTCGCGTGCACGTTACGCGGAGAGGAGAGCTTGTAGGTGTATAAGAGAGGACTGTCGGAGGAGGACCGGAGAACGTAGAGAAGTAGATGGCTGGTGGGGTAAAAAACAAAAGTCCAGTCGGTCGTGGAGCGGTCCAGGATGGTCCCAAGCTATTCGGGACCACCCCGAGAGCCGAGGGGTCCAGCTCGGCTCGCGGCAATCAGGTGCCGTTGGAATGCGACCGTCCGAGAGAAAAACAAAACAAATTTTTATGCCCTCCTCTCCTTCACCGTTCCGTCCTTTCGGCTCTCGTTCGCTTTACTCCTCGTTCTAGCCCTCTCCCTCTCCTCTCCCTCGCCCCCACCGCCACCCCCTGGAGAAGTCGGCCTCCTCCGGAGAAGCATTAGGCATTACTTAAGGGCCCATGGGTCCACCGTGGAGGAAGGGTACCTACTGCTGCTTCCCTTTGCTCACGAAGGCGCTCGCTTTGGCGGCAGGAAAAAGGACGATTTCACGCTGCGAATTGTCCACGGCTCGTTCTGGGGGCCTCTCATTTACGAGGGTAACGATTCCCTTATCGATCTCGTGCCGGAACGAGGATACCCGGTTATCGGTGTCGGCTGCAGCCTGTTGGCCCCGTGCACTCCGCTTTTCGTCCTCCACCTACCGTAGATCCTCCCCTAACGGCGGACGAGTTTCGAGCGTGGATTAAGACACGACCCGGAACGAGCCTGCCTCATTGTCTACCCAGGAAAATTGATTCGCTTGGCAGTTGAGCGTGAGCGATGGAATTACCGCTCCCTATCGCCCCCGTTGGGGTCTTCTAGTCTCGGACGTTAACAAGAACCGTTTCTTCGTCAATTTTTTCACCCGACGGATCGCTCTTAAGGCCGTCCACCTGTGTAACGTTTAATTTTCAAGGCAATCATCAAGAATTTTTTGTAGGAAAAGTATCAGCGCAATTACGATATCGTTGCGCCGGGCGGTTGAAGCACGAGAATTCATTTTAATTAAATATAAAGTTTATTAACAAACTATAACTTTTAAACAATATAACGATAATCTTGGAGACTCGTAACGGAAACGTCTTCTCTCTTTCAGTTCTCGAATCGCTGTCTACTATTTTAAAAGTTTGCCGCTTCCTGGCAACCGGAAGCGCGGGAACTCGTTTCCGCGACTTCACATCGTCGCAACAATATTTTTCTTTTTTTCTTTTATTTGGTAGATCGACGCTTCAACATTAATTTTTCATTTTATCTCTATGAATATCTCTATCAAAATTTTCATGTCAAAGATGCATCACGCTGTGGTCAACCAATCATAGAACGATGCGATGAAATCACGGAAATGGTTGAGAAACGCCACGAACGTTTTCGAATATCCAATATTTCTGAACCATAACGAATACCATTAAAATTGCGTACCTTTAGCTGCTCGAATAACGACAGCGTTATCGACACACGGCACAGAACGGTCCCATAAAGGTAACAGGACGATTTATTCGTCCCTCTTTTACCGCTCGCACTTAGAGTCCTCTTAAGCAACGCGTTATAGGCTCTCGCACTATCACAGAAGTGCATCAGACACGATAAAAAAAAAAAAAAGTGTCCCTTTTAAAACCCTACCGAACGTAATCGCGTTACCGACTTCATGGAAGCATGACTGCGTGACTGCGTCTTGATCAGGATGTTTACAAAAGTGTTCCATCTTTTACCGTCGAACAACGATTTACTCCGGATAAAGAACCTAGTTGCCGTTCGACAACCCTCTGTTAAAACTCAGAGATAGGCTGCGGACTTTATAAACTTTACTTGCAATTTTTTTTTTTTTTATATTATTGCATACTGCGTGCATTTTGTAGGTTCTTGCGTATTCCAATTTCCTAGAAATGCATAAAAGTTCGTGTCATAATATTCGCAGAGGAAAAGAAATTCCTATCGAGGTTCAATTTTCGTAGGTACGTTTGCAAAGATTTTATTTCGCGCAAAGAGCCGCAGTCTACTCGGTGACGAGGGATATTTTATTTAAATATGAGATAAAAAATGAAATCAACGCGTAGCAATTTATTCATCAAGTTCATTCGACTGGATCGTGAAATTTGTATTTGTTTAGTGTGAAACATTCGATTCTATAATTTAAAACCTTTAGTTTTATTTAATGAAAACGCGAACGACAAAATGTTCGTCGTTTGTTTGTTAATCGACGTTTTTATCTAGATCAAAACGAACAATGAATACGATACGTGATCTGCTATTTGTTCGATAGTAATTGTAATTTCAATGATAAAATTCGATTAAATCTTACATCGACTGATTGAAAGCTTACCCGAACAACCGTCTGATCGAATAAACATAGCAAATGAATTTTTATAGGATATCATCCGGTTTTCTCTGTCTGACAAGAGGTATTTAAAATCCATTCCAGCTGTGCAATTTTATCCACAAATGTATTAATTGTCGTCGCATCGTTTTGTTGTCGCTGTTAAGATACAAACTGATGGATTTTTATTTATCCCCTTGTCAAACATGTATACATGATATATCAATTCAATTAATAACTAGGAATATAATTTTTATCGGATCCATACCAAATCGAAAATTATTTATGCTTTATTCGTTATTCGATACGGTTACCTAGTAGATAAGAGGTTTGATTATCTCTGGGCGAAACTACGTTTCGCCACTTTTTGCTGCATTAACGAGACGGGTTTTCTCGATCCGTAGATCATCATGTTCCTGGAGTGAGGCATGAGCGTGGTAAGAGGCTATGGTTCGACGTCTCCGAGGTGCCACCTGGGGAACACATAATCGGTGCAGAGCTGAGGCTCTATCGTAGTATGGACGTGAAGAATCGAAGAAATCGTGGATCGTACATGATCACGGCCTACCGTGTTCTGAGAACTCAAGACGGGTGAGTGTCGAAACAGAATTTATTCGTTTGCGCTGTAATTAACGCTTACTGTTCAAGTCCTTGGACCTGCCTTCATAAAATAGATAGCAGACTCGAGGGGGTATTCTAGTCTAGATCGTCGACTTTTAGTGCTTTTTCAGAATTTCTTTCTAATCTATAAGGAATTTTTGTAACGGGGTTTCCGCGCATATTTATTCACATTTTAAAGACATACACAATTTTTTGCAGGTAAAAATAATCAACATTGGTGTCCATGGTTGTTGTACGAATACTTATTACTAGACTGCGGATCTTTACGCAAAATAAAATCTTGGCGTACGTGCCTACACAAATTAAACCTGAATAGGAGTTTATTTTATTCTGCAAATATTATATATATTTCTATATTTCTACATATACTTATTTATATATATTTATATATATATTAAACAAATTATATACAAATTAAACCTGAATAGGAATTTATTTTATTCTGCAAATATTATATATATTTCTATATTTCTATATTTCTATATATACTTATTTCTATATATTTATATATATATTTATATTTTGTATTTTAATATATTATATATATATTTTTTTCATAACATGAACTTTCAATACGTTTCTATATTTTTGCATATTGTTTGGATTTTGTAGTATCTTGCACGTTCAAATTTCCTATAAATGCATAAAGATCGGCGGTCTACTTGTTACATCGACTGCAGTTATTTCTTATTTTCATTTCAATCGAAATATGGCCAGATCTGGCCTAGAACCGTTGCGTCCGTCGATAGTGAATCACGTGTTTTCGTCTCCCGCGAGTTTGCAATGACTTCACCCTTTAATGTCATTGTCGTGTCAGCAATTAGAAGGTTTCGGTTCCCGGAAAAGTTGTTCAGGTATTAGTTCTACCTGAAGCGGGAACTCGAGCCGCCATTTCCGAGCGAGTAAGGGTGGCCGGTAGTTTTCGAGGTGACCTTTAACTGCCGCGCGCCGAAGAAGAGGACCGATGAGGCATCGTGGAAAAACGGTACTCCGTGTCTCTCCATCTTTGTCTCTTTTCGACGTGGCAAGCTTCCTGGGTGGGTGGCTAGACCAATTTCTGTGTTCCTTCGGCCAGAGTCCGTGGTTTTTGACATCGTCATCGTGCCCCTAATTAGGCCGTCCTTAAGTCGCCGAAAAAATCCCAGGTATTTGTTCTACCTGTGGGAGCTCCGAGGACCAAACTACCATTTCTTTTCGATTCCACCTTTCCCATTCATATCCATGGACGTCTAACGGCGTACGAATATAACGAACGCCTTTCTATTATAGAAACACCGACGGTTACCTCGTGTTAGCGCCAACTTCCTAACGAGTCGACACATTCACTGCCAAACGAATTCTCGTGAAAATGTCCACGGGATCAAGAGTTCGTATCGAGACAATTGGAAATTGTCTAACGTGTCACTTGCAATAGCATTCATTTACTCAAATACCATTAAAATTCACGAGTTCCAGCCAGATTTATTTTATTTAACGTCTCACCTTCGGAATTAATTCTTTTAGTTCCTCGAAGTTTAGTTCGACGAAAAATCCAGTGCGGGTGACAACGACAGACAACCTGTTAACACGATACGAATCGGCCCAGTTTAAAAATATCTCATCTTTGAACCGCGGTATTGCCGTAAACTCGATCTTTGTGGAAGAATTTTCGCTATATGTATTTGTTTCAATTTAATTTCCTATTGGACACTCCAATATTAGTTGCATCACACGCTATCGATAATCTATAACGAGGACGTTATTCAAGCTAGCATAGCCATTGTTTCTCGAAAACGCCTAGAGCAGAAAATTTAATTCTTTGCCAAATAATTAGCAAATAAATAGAAAAAAAATATCGCGTCAATTTGAGATTGGCCATTTGAAGAGACTACGCCAGCTTAATATACGTAGATGCGTTCGTAGTTTGACCGGCTGTCACGAGAGCTGGGCTGTTTCGTGTCCACGTGTCGGCTCGTTCCTCGCACGAGGAGGACGGTGTGGCGGATGGCGACAGCGTGTCTAGAGCCATCCCTGTCTGCGATACCTCCGTAGACTTTGGTACCGCGACCTGACCGATATACAGGCCCCGACAGGAAACGCTATTCCGTAAATTGAGGTAAATTAGCCGTGGAGACGGGCTGCGAGCAAGGAGTTAAGAGCACGAGTTACTTGCTGTGCCTACGCAGTTACACGCACGGATCTACTCCACCTCCTCTTCCTTCATCTCCTACTCTTTTTCGTCGTGGTCCGTTCTCCTCCTCCTTCGACTCTCATCCTCCTCTCTTCCCCTCCTCCTTCATCTGTTCCTCCTTCTTCTCCTTTTCTTCTTCGACTTCTTCCGTCAAACTTGATGCGTGACGCATCCTCCTCCACCTCTTTATCCTCCTCCACCTTCTGGTCCAGCCGAGACAAGCTGGCGACTCTGGTTTCTTACGTGTGCACCGCAGGTTTCCATAAGAGTTCCCCCGTGGTAGGGGATATACACACCAGCGCCGTCAGCTGTCCCAGGCCCTCACGACGAGATTCCAACGCTGACGAAAGTCAGACAGTGACATTTGCCGTAACAAGCCTCAGGGTCTCGTATGCTTTTAGACCCAATTAGGGATTCATGAATTTTTCTTCTCGTTCGCGTTTATTAGACGGCCGTTCCTCGCGCCGGTTCGCGTTCACGGCGATACTTTAGTCGCTAAAACGAGGACACCGTCCTTGCGGTGGTTGCTCATCGATCCGACGCCGACGGTTGTTCCTCGTTTCGATCGACCATCGGTTTTCTAGTCGATTCAGTTTCCACTTTGCGACTCCTTCTCCAAAGTATTTCCATTTTGCAATTTTATTTTTTGTTTTTGTTTTTGTTTTTGTTTTTTTTTTTTTTATTTATTTATTTATTATTATTTAACGTTCCATCAACCTTTGGTTACTAGCGACAGTTTCTTATGAGGTTTTCTCCGACGTTACGCGCTGGTCCATATATGTGTATCTTTAAGCGGCTGGATTATTTTGTTCGAGTTTTCTTTTCGCGCTCGAAATTGTTCCGAGTAACAAATATTTGAACACCTTTTAATACCTTTGAATACCATTAATCTGTATCCTCGGATATTCGAGAAAATTTATCGAACTTTTTAACTTCATCGAATGTAACAACATCCTACAAGTATAGACGTGTTTTTGAACCATTAACGTGCAAGTGAATAAATTGTATGATTCAGCTGAGAGGAATGCAAGCGAAAAAAGAATAATATTCATGTTCATTAGCAAATAGTGCGCACAATCTCCAGCTGGGAATTCTATGCGCCGCATCGAAGATTCATCTCTCCTGTTTAACATTTCAACTTTTGCCAATTATTCAATTACGAAGAACGGTAATCGATCCCGGGAAAAAAGATAAATGCGTCGTTTAAGAAGTGTCTTCGTTCGCTGGGATCAGAGGTGAACATGTCTCTCTCAATGAACAATGATTAGCGTGTTTCACTGAAATCTTATTGACGCGAGTCACGTGCTGATGGATTTGCACGAATCGTCGAGTCACGACGCTACAATCTAAAGAAATCACGGCAAATGGTCGCGCAGGCCTCGTCTCACGTTGTTAGATCTCGGTTAGACCGGTTACATAAGATTCAGTGGTTTCCTATCGATCGATTTTATCGACGAGTAGCGCGATTTCAAAACTGCGGAACGATTCCGGTTACGGGGACAATACGCGTCTTTGACAAGCCCGATATCGTCCCCCGCTTTCAAATTTTATTTAACGATTCTTGTTACTCGCCGGGCATCATCGCGTTCAATGTTAATCGCGAAAATGGGTCTGTGTTCCTGGTTTAAAATTCCGTTAAAATTGTATTAAACAAGAATTGAAATAAGATTATTAATTTTTTTTTTTTTTTTTTCATTACAGAAGGAAAGGTGATTTAATTAGAACGTAACAGAAAAGGCAGTGAAAAAGTTCAGATCGTTTAAGCTAAAGCTTTGATATCGAAACTAAAGGTATACGTGTGTCTGTATATGTACCTGGATCTTGTGTTAAATTTCCTCGGATACGATATTCTTTATCTCGTATAAAATTGTTTTAACTTGTTCATTTATTAAAGAAGATTCAAGCTTTTCAAATTGAAACGTTTCGCATTTAAAATAAAATGCTTTGTGACGATTACAAATTATTTAATTAATTTCAATAGGAGCAACAGTATTTTTAATTTCAATGCATTTTTATAAGTGCGTGTACTTTCTTTGGCTTAGAGCAGGGCTTCTTAAACTATGGGTCGCTTATTTTATATTTTTGGAAAGTTGTTCTACATGTGCATCGTTTTATATTTTTTTTCGTAGTTCCTTCCATTCGTTGTCCACATCGCTGCGTGTTAACGTAATGACTAATGCGAGTTTTTCATGATATATGCAAGGAAAATTGCAGTAATATTAGTGACACCGAGCAGGAGTCGTAAGTGGCTTTTAGCAGCTAATGCATCGCGATGCTTGCAACTTATTGTTAGCCAGGAGATAATGTTGGCGAGTTAATGTCGAATGCGAATAGGATACGTTTGATACATTTTACGCGACTTTCATAAAAAGAAAAAAATATCACCTCATGCAGAATGATGAAACGAAGCTTTTTTTCTATTTACAGTTTATTCATACGACGTTTAGTTTCACAGATAAAAAATTAAAAACTTTGAAGACCTTTTTCCTGAAATTCAATTTTTCCGAACAAACTTCTAACTTTTCAATTTTTATTTAATTTATTATTAAACTAAGCGCTCTATAAATAAACTTTACAAATAAGAAAGTTTCGTCTCATCGTCGTCTGTAAGGCGATATTTTTTAAAAATTTATTTAACGAATACAAACATTTCTCTGAGCTCATTTCTCAAGGGCGTATATATATATATATATGTACACACGCCCTTTGCAGTCAAAGGGTTAAGAGAATGTACTTTGTTATTTTGATAAACGACAGCCTATAGGTGAAGAGATGTAACGCTTATATTTCTCAAAATATAGTCACTCTTGTATTACCTAATTGTTAGGAATTATGCTGATTGCCTTGATTATACAGTAATTAACGCGCCGTATCTTTGAATCGTTTCGAATGAATTTCTCACGCAAATTAAACGGATACTTAGAATTGTCTATCTTTGTTGTAGAACGAGGGAGTTGCAGTACGTAGATGCTGTTAACACGACAACGGGGAAAGAGGGATGGTTGACTTTAAATGTTAGCGAACCCCTCGCGCATTGGGTGAACAATCCCGATGGAAACAAGGGATTGTATCTCTCTGTACATCCTGCTGATCGTTCTGGTGAGTCAAAATTCACTATTTTACCAAACTACCACCCAAAATAGAGTATCAAAAAGTAACAGGCTAGAAAATAATCTGTAATATTCAATACAGCAGAACTCGTAAGCATTTCGAGTTCAACGTATCACAAATTCAGCTCCATCGTTTTTCTTTACGTTAAAATTTGTCTCGCGTCTATTAAAGTAAGCTATTTTATTGCTTGCTATCTCTGATGTTTATTTCACGATTTTTCTGTAAACTTGCTTCGATAAATGTTATTTATTCGAAATATTTGATCGATTCATGGTTTACGTTTGATTGTCGAATTTATCGTCTCGCTAAGTAATTGAAATACGGAAATGTTTCTGATATCGTTTCTGAGCTCAAGTAATTTTGATACGTGCACACGTATTCTGTGAATATTTCTTTACTAGTCCGAGGATTATTGATTCACGTTCACTAAACCACGGTGATTAATGGTTCAAATACACCGTGGATCTCGATAAGCATTCACACGTCACAAATATTTATCGTCGAATAATTTACATTCGAATTGGCTATTAGCGCGTAAAAGTGAATATTTAAATCAACGGCAACAAGAATTTACTTGGCGATACTAAATAATCCGAGATAACAGTAATTGCTACAGCTTTCATGGAAATGAAAGTTTACATTAACGAAGGGTAGAGAACAGTGATCGACAATAAGGACGTTTAGTCGTCAAGAGGCATCACATGAAAGATAGTTTTATCACTTACGTAACGAATAAACATTTCGAACCTACGGCTACCTGCGTCATTCGTGCATTCGTCATTCGTTATATTTATCCAAATATGTCCGGATAGAAACATATTAGGATTAATATTTATTCGACATTTACAGAGAAAAGGTTATGAAAGGGTTAATATTTGGCCACCTAACGTGTTTTCCTCCCTTAACTCGTGATAACATGTAGATACATCACGCGGCGCTCTTAGAATGCGATTCTATTAAATTAGTTCTCTAATCGAAGGATTAACTCTAATTGTTTTAGCAACGTTATAACAAAATTCGAATCAACGACAATTGTCGTCCAATAGGATCTCTTTCATTTAGTTTCGTTCAATGTTATACAATTTAATCAGTTTTCTCCAGTTCTGATCGGATTTGGTAGCCAGACTGGTTACCAAATCAATTTGTCGCTGGAGAGGAGAAAATGTTTCATAACTCGCCAAGAGATCCTCCCAATCGCCTTTTCTATCTGAAAAGATCTCGAGGATGGTAACCGTAGACACATGTGTTCGGACATGTGTGCGATTGTGCGAGGCGGTGTTCGAGCCTTCGAGCAACGTAGACGGTTTGTATTGAGCAATAGATCGTGGCTAATAAACGCTTCGGGGTCAGAAGTTCGACGCGGTAAATTCCGGGCGTTTCTTGTACACCTGGCTCGGAGAAGGCAGCCTCCACGGATGTATAAGGTACATGCTTTCTCGAGCGTACACCTGTTCCACGCTCTCACTCCCATGCTGAAAAGCGTTCCCCCGTCTCGCACACCGCGCGACTCTTCGAATGTATGCAGTCAATCGGCTTAGCGATGGCTTCGTACCAGGCCTCGTTACCTTTCCTTCTTTCTGCTTCATTTCTCGACTTTGTTGCTCCACTGCGGTTCGTTTCATACGATGATACACATCACGAAATATTTACATGTCTTTATTTTATATTGTTTGGGTCGGTATTTTAATACGGTAACTAGACTGCGGATCTCTATGGAAAATGAAATCTTTTGAATGTGATTGAATCAACGATTCAAATTTATAAGAATCTAAGAATTCAAATGAAATGCTACATGTTGCTACTTAAATGGCCGATTCATTTGCTGTCCTGCCCAATTTCGCGTATCAACGATAACAAAGATGCAAACAAACGACGCATTATATTTGCTGCTTTTCGAGTACTCGCGCGATTACATGGCGCATAAGTAACGAGGAGGACTTAACTCGTTGCGCAATATGTTACACGCGTTGTCACATGTTACGTTGAAATGGAAAATAAAAGGGATGACCGTCAATTGGCTCGTCATTTTTAGCTCTGCCAACGATTCCGACTATGTATTTAACCCTTTGCACTCGAGGCCTTTTTTTTCCGGCTATCCATCAGCAACTCGAGATGCTTTCTCAGCGTTCTATTGCCACAATTGTGTAAAATAATCGACGCATAAACGTTTAGTCAAAGAATTTTTGTACGGAAGTGCGGAAAATTTTCAACCGTGTATACTGCAAAGCGATCGAGAAAACAACGATCGTTGAAAGCTGTAAACAGAGAAAGAGGAAGATGACAGTTGACTGGGAATCATAGACAGAGACTTTGCTCGCGGTTCGAAGTTTTCGTGCGTCACTCGAGGTCCTTACTAGCCAGGAAAGAAATACATCATCGACCAGAGGCCAAGCCGTGGCGTCGTCTTGTCTTCCTATACTGGCGAGATGTGCGTGGGATCCAGGCAGAGGAGGGAAACGAAGGCAGACAGCAAGACGACGTTAGAAAAACAGGGAGAGGATTACACGAACGAACCAAGACCCCAGATGGTGAGATAAAGACGCCCCTGATTCCGATTCTGCCACCGAATCGTAGATGAGAATCGTCGCGAACCGTACGAGGAGAGATTACCCCGATTCGATCCTTTTGATAAGATACACCTGTTAACCGTGCCCCGACCCGATGAGCCTTAGATCATTGATGATTTTCGTGCCCTTCTACGGACGAACCAGTCGATCTTTCTATCGGTTAAGAACGCGGTAGCCTTGGTCGATTACATCTCATCTGGATACCGCACGAAAATCAGCCGGCTGCGGAGATCGGAAACTAATATTCTTCACGAACACGTGTTTTCGGTTGTATCCAAGTGCCACAAAAGCGTCAAGGTGTATCGATGATCTTTACGATGTATATCAGGCAACCATCAACCATATGGAAATAAGCTAGTAATAAGTAAACAGTAGTGCGATAACTTTGTATAATAAGTTACGCACTTTAAATAAACGAAAGAACGAACGAACGTGCATACGTTTCAACTATGCTTGTTCCGCTATACTTCCTTTCAGTTGTTTGCAAAATTGTACAAGTAGAAACACGAGCGAAATTTGTGTCCCAGGACACGAGCAGGTAGTTAATCATCCCAGATAGTTTATCGGTTTCGTTTTTCCTCTGAATCGAATAATCTCGTGCAATTTATCTTTCTTTTGAATTACAACGTTTCTTGTTCATATTTTATCGGCAGGATCTCGTCCATACGTTTGGTTCGCGATGTATTTTGTTGGTACACATTGTAGAACGAATTGATTGCATGGAACGAAGACTGGTTGCGCTCGATATTCTCAGGAATGAGAAATGATCGAGATACCGCGCCTTGGATTACCGACATCGAGACGGTAATTGGATCACGATTGTCGAACAATTGGATAATATTTGAATGCTTTGTACCACGCTTCATCTAATTTTCTATCAAGACCGCGGTATACGAGAAATATTCACGATGTCCGTTCGCTAAATTAAATTCCGATTGCGCAGAATTGTTCGGAATCGCTTAAATTTTAATTAAAGAAGAAAAGTGATTGTTTCGCATAATTTTTGTTTCTTTTTTTTTTTTTTTTTTTTATGTTCCAAGCCCCTTCAAACTAAGATTTTCGAATTCTACTCGTCGAAATCTACATGGATTATGTAAAAAAATTAAAAATAAAAAAAATAAAAAAAAAAAAAGAAATTAACACTCTCTGATCCCCCAAAGTAGAGTTCAGCCGTTCGATGTATGCGATTGGATCAACTTGTCCAGATATTAGATAAAAATAATGAAAAAGTCCACCGTAACTCTGGTCGATCGTAACGATCGAATACACATCGCTTTCGTTGGTGTTATTCGTTATCTATTATTCGAATAAGATTCCTCTCATCTGCGATGCGTGTCGCGAGAGGTACACGTCTTCGGAGCGGGGAGACCGCGAGGAAGAGAAAAAGAGGCAGGTACACGGACCAGGGGACAAGATGAAGAGAGAATGCCAAGGGAGGAATTACCAAGGAACGGAATCGTGGTTTTCTGTGTACGGAACGGATACCTGTGTACGTGCACGCGGGTTTTAGGTGTGCGCGGGCCTCTGATCTTGTGTTTTATATTGAATGATCAAAGGTAAACCGGTTGTGCTCTCGAAGGAGAGAAGTAGAATCGAAGAGGAGCAAGAGAGAGAGCGAGATGCCGCGAGCGCGAGAGGAGGATCGACGAGAGGAGAGAGAAACCGGTGAGGAGGAGGAGGAGGTACGAGGTGAGAGAGGTAAGTAACAAAATGATCTAGGCGCGGCAAACAACAAACTGTACGCGCACGCACACCACCGCCCGTTCGAACCACTCGCATATACACGTCCGTCCCAATGCCTCGTTCTACGGCTGAAACGTGTCTTGTTTATATCCACGATGTCGTTATGGCAGTCTCTCGTGTGTTACTGGCGAGTATCGCGCCAGGATACAAGGATTACAAGGTGGACACGCGCAGTTCTTCGACGGTCATGAAGAACGCTCGCGGTGGTTGTCGCCAGAGATGGACGAAATTTTATTCGAGTAATAAACGACGAATTACATCGAACCGTATAGCGAGTCGCAAAGACATTCGCTCGGTCGAAAATGTGAGAAAAACGGACGATATAACGAGTCGATAATGAACATTTTAAAATTCTTTTATTCGAAAATACATGGTTCACAGTTCGACGTAACAGGACCGTTCGAAAGATTTCAAAGATTTTGATTCATGAACTGAGTTACGAATGATGGGATACGAAGGGATAGAATGAATTTCTTCATCTAATAAAAGGTTTTCTAAAAGGAGCTTTAGGATTTGGTTCTTTTTCATACCAAACTAGGTGTCAGTCAGCGTAGTCGTGGTGGATATATTAGTATTTTCACAGAGGCCCCATAAAAAGCTTCTTTTTGATGAAAGAAAACGAGGAAATTCTTTTCAAGAAATGTATCCTTATGAAGATATTTCAAAAAAGAAACAAAA